GATAATCATTCTATTTGGAATATTATGTATCAAACTTTTAAAAATCTCCTTTAGTGTTCATAACACATTCTCAATACTTTCTAACTGCAGGAAGTTGGGCAAAATTAAAAGAAGAATTAGGAACAAAGCAAGGTTGAAGGTTCAATCGTCAATGAATATATAGTGAATGAACTCGCTACCTATTGTTCTTTATATTTTGCCCCGATAATTGAGACACACCATAATCAAGAGCCATAAAATTTCGCACCACAACATGACAACTCTTCAAGTGGAGATCTATTAAGTGTATTTGCCTTTCCATCAAGAAGATTACATGAAAAGGGTGGAAAGAAAAGACTCTTGAAACATGAAGAACTTCACAAAGCACACACCTATATCCTACTAAACTATGAAGATGTTTCCCCTTTCATCCCAGAGTTTGATCGAACAGTCTGGGATGTTTACTCTGATGTTTTGATTTGGAAGCTCTGATAATAATGTTTTGAAATACTTTGACTCATGTTTTGATGAAATGGTTTGATAATTATGATTTTATTTAATGATTTAAAAACAAAATTTTGGGACCGTATTTTATGAGTGTTACAGTACGTATATTTATAATATGTATAACTTGGTGAAAACAAATTAATCAAAGTACAATGATGTTTTGAAAAAAAAAAACGAAAAAAACGACATCTGATAATCGAAAATTAGAAAATACAAAAACGGTCGTAGGTAATCCGTAGATAAATACCTATGGATTACCTACGGATAATCTTTATCCGTAGGTATTTACCTACAGATTACCTACGAGCATTTTTGTATTTTCTATTTTTGAAGAGATAAATGTCGTTTCTTTTTTCGTTTCATTTTTTTCACAATATCATTATAATTTGATTACTTTGTTTTAACCACGTTATAAGTCAAAAAAAATGTACATAAAATGATGTGCACCGTTAGACCCCTTTATTATACATAACACATAATACAAAAACTATGTATGTTTGTTCTTGAAATACAATTAACCATCATTTAACATATATATATGATACACTAAATATAATACATACATACATATTGGTGTGTATTTTATTTGTATGTGTGCATTGAACATTGATAAATAATAATAATAATAATAATAATAATAATAATAATAATAATAATAATCACAATCAAGTTCTAAATGAGTAATGGGCTGTAACAATGCATATGTTTGTACGTATATTTATATTATGTAGAACTTGGTGAAAACAAGTTAATCAAAGTATAATGATGTTGTGAAAAAAAAAACGAAAAAAACAACATCCGACCCTCGAAAAATAGAAAATACAAAAACGGTTGTAGGTAATCAGTAGGTAAATACCTATGGATTATCTACGAATAATATTTATCCGTTGGTAATCAGGTGGTATTTAACTATAGATTACCTACGACATTTTTGTATTTTCTATTTTTTAAGAGTTAAACGTCGTTTTTTTTCGTTTTATTTTTTCACGACATTATTATACTTTGATTACTTTGTTTTCACCAAGTTTTATGTCAGATCAATGTACATAAAACCGTGTGCACCGTTAGACCCCTTTATTATACATAATACATAATACAAAAAGTATATTTGTTTGTTATGGAAATACAATTAACCATCATTTAACATATATATATATATATATATATATATATATATA